CTACCTAAAAGGAAGTAGTAGTGAGGTGGGGGGGGTTGACCCTAGTGACAGCTGCACTCTCCAGCTGGGATGGAGGGAGTGGGGTTCAAGCTGGGTATTAGGAAAATCTTCTCAGGAGCCATCGTCGAGAACTGGAACAGGCTGCCCAGAGGGGAGGTAGAGTCAGTGTCTGTAGGTTTTCTAGAAATTGAAGATGGGACATGTAGGGACATGGTTTAGTAGGCATAGGTGATGATGACTTGATTGTTGGACCAGATGATCTTAGAGATCTTTTCCAACTTTTATAATTCTATGATTATTTTTAGGAGAACTAGAATACTACTGGATAGCCTTTGGGTAATATAAGCCCTGGGGATTTGTAGTTAAAAGTAATATTGCACTTGAAGCTAGCATATCTTATAGCTTTCACACAAATGTAAGCAATTAACTTTACCAAAATATTGCTAAAGCTGAAGGCTTTTTAAAAAAAAACAAAAAAACTTGTTAAGGGTTTTCTTAAATACATAAAGAAGTGTTACCTGACTTTACACTAACTAAAACCCTTTCTTTGGAAGCAATAATTGTGGTGTTTATTATTGTTCCTGTAATGTATAGTGTAGCCTATCCTTTTGGCAGCAGGTATCTTGGTATTTTCTGATAGTCTTTGTTACTTTCGAGTGGATAAATTTGAATGTTTATTTGTTTTAGTAGGGAAAATGAAGGAAGAGAGGAAGAAATAAGTGACTTTATTGTTTGGTTCTTATCTATTCTATTATTGCTGTTTCAAATAAGGTGTACATAACAGCTATGGGAAGGTGTTCAAAACATGAGTCAAGTTATGTTCAAAATACTCAGATTTGAGAATTTAAGAATGTTAATTATTTTAAAAAATACTTATTTTAACATGCTGGAAGGTTTCTTTCATTTTTAATAGTTGTCTGTGTTGTACACAGTAGATATCTGACATGCACCATCTGTAGCAAAAATCAACCTTCTTTCATTGGACTTTCTCTGATTCCTTTCAAATTATTTCCCAAGATTGTGCCTGGAGTGAATTCAGCAAATGAAAGAGTGAGATACATTAAGTACATTATTGAACAGCAGATAAAATAGTTGTATTTCTGCTGCATTGTGTGAGTGCTTCTTGAATGCTGCAACTTCAGCTCTTAAGGTATTAAGTGGTTTTTAAAAAGTAATGGTTTCCTGCCCCCACGTGGTTAAAAAGAGCACATAATTGGGATTGGTAGTTTGTCACTATAAAGTGAAGTCCTGTATGAATTTCAAGTGGAAGGGAGAACAAAGCGGAGCACACAGTCTTAAGTTTTGAATAAGAAAAAAACATTACTAGTAGCTATAAAGGTGGTGGATATGGAAAAGATAATGATGAGAAGGAAAGAATTCAATCGTTTTAAACAAGATTAAAAAAAGTTGCAACAGTATTTCGTGGTCCGGATAGACATGATTTTCAACATGCACAGAGAGATGATGTGGAATGGAGGATATAATTCTTCATTACACAGATAAGATCTTAAAAGATTATTAGTGAAAAGTTACACAGGAATAGAAAGTGAAAGGGCATCTCTTAAAGTAAAAAGTGTAATCTTGCATACTAAAAACAATAATAACATTCTGCACACTTCTTGTATCTTGCTTTTTCTAAAGTTGTAAGTACAGAAGAATGATTATAAAAGATTTGAGACTTGAACAGTAAGGAAGGAGGCATGTAGGAGTAGACATAATTAGATAGTGGTTTCTGATAGAGTATGTACAATAATAGCCAAAGGTCTTCTGGGTGTTTTCCTTTGTCATATGTTTGCATTGCAGTTAATACTTGATGAACTGAAGGAACAGGGAAGTTGAAGCAGGAGGGTGGATGGGAGAAGAAGAAAACAGTGGAATGTACAGGACATTGTGATACTAAACAATTAAATTTGCCTGTGAACTCCCAAAGTTTTATGTATTAAATAAATGTGAGGAACACATCCCACCTTGCTTTTATGTTCCTTTTACAGTAGAGCATTTAACTACAAGACACAGGTGGTATATGCTTGCTTGCAGCAGATTGAATATTTTACATAATCATTGGTTATCCCAATATCCATAGTAGTTTTCCTCTAGACTCGAATTCACATTTACATTGTATTGCCTTTTTTCTCTTTGGTCATTTATGTTACAAGATATTTTTATCACTTCAGGTTATATCAGGAGAATTTGGCAGCAATGGAACATTGTGATTTTCATAGTAGGATTTTAATATTTTTATTTGGATTATAAGATGAAGTTCTGAAACCTAAGCAGGCCATGTTGTGAACACTCACAATGCTGTGACCTGTGGGTTGTAGGATTAAAATGGCAGGTTGAAGAATGGCATTCTCATCTTGCTGGAACTCTCTCCCTGAGTGGGAAAAAGGCTCAAGATGCATAGAAAATGAAAGGAGTGCTGTAACCCAGTGATTAGTGAAAGACAGATACCTAGCTCTGAGCACCGTTCAGTGTATTTTAAGACTTTGTTTAAATTTCATGGCTTTGAGATTGCAGAATAATAAAGTGTGATATAATTGTACCATTCCTGACTGTTCTTTCTCAGTGCATCCTTATACCAATAATGTAAACTGAGGCTGAGGTAGGGGTGATTTCTAAATGCTGTGATACTTTATGTTACATTTCCTTATGAACTCATTCATAATCTAACAACTTCCAAAGAGTCTTTATCATTAATGTCAGTCAGAAAAGCTAAGTGGCATAAATAGATAATTTAATAACTTTCTTTGAAGTTCTGAATTCAGACATTTAAAATCAAAAGAAGGAATTTTACTGACAGGAAATGCTCACTTCAGTGAGAGAAAGAAAAATGACTTCATCCCACAAGGGATGAATATTTAAGCAAACATTTATCACAAAGCTGGAATTGAAACAATACTGTCACTTGCAGTGTTTCAGTTAAATCTTGACCATGTGCTATTTCAGACTGTAGTAGTTTTTTGCATACCTTTTGTTTAACCTTAATTTTTTTAATTATTGGAGAAACAAGTCTCCTTTTTAATGCGTAGATATTTTTACAATTGTGTCATTCTAAATATTTGAGAGAAAGTCTTACAGGAGATAGGTATTAGCAAATTCAACAGAAAATAGAGAATGGGACCATTAATATCACCACTGTTTTTGGTGAAATCAGAATCTTTTCTGATTCAGATAGTTGGAAACAATTGAGTGAAATAAATACCTTTCAACTGACCTTTCAGAGGCATGAGGATTCCACAGCCTCTCTGGGCAGCTTGTTGCAGTGCTCAGTCACACTCAAAGTAAGGAAGTTTTTCCTAATGTTTGTATGGAACTTCCTCTGTTCCAGTTTGTTACTGTTGCCTCTTGGCCTATTGCTGGACACCTCTGAAAAGATCTGGGGTCCATCCTCTTGACACCTGCCCTGTAGATATCAATAAGCACTGATAAGATTCCTATTCTAGTTTTCTCTAGGCTGAGGGTCTCAGACTTTCCTCATAAGAGATGTTCCAGGGCCCTAATCAGCTTTGTGGCTCTCTGCTGGACTTTCTCCAGCAGTTTCTTGTCTTTCTTGAGCTGGGGAGTGCAGTACTCCAGCTGTGATCTCAGCAAGGCAGAGCAGAGAGAGAGGAGTACCTGCCTTGACTTACTGGCTGTGCTCTTTTTGGTGCATCCCAGAATACCATTGGCCTCATTGGCAGAGTGGTGGTTTATGGTTAACCTGTTGTCCTCCTGGGCACCTAGATCCTTCCGTGCAGAGCTCCTTTCTTGCAGGTTCACAGAATCACAGAATCACCCGGGTTGGAAGGGACCTCAAGGATCATGTAGTTCCAACCCCCCTGCCTAGCAGGGCCACCAAACGTACGCAGTTAAATTGTGCTGATATGTGTGGTTGTTCTTCCTTAGGTGTAGGACCCTTCACTTGCTCTGTATATGCCTTTTTCAGCGTGTCAGATTAATCATTTATTTTGGAAAGTTTCCAAGTCTTTGCAGTGTTTAAAGTGCAAGTTTTGCATTAAAATAAATCCGTATGCTGTTTGTGATGTTAAAAAAAAATGTTTATTTGTATTAGCAAGTATATAAAAACAAATCACAGTCATCTGTGCCTGTTGTTTAGTACTAAGTTTGGTTACTGTGTTTTTTTAGATGAAGAGGTGTTTTTTCCTTGGGTTATTCCCCCCAGTTCTTATTGGAATTTTTGTGAGAAAAACAGTTGAAATTAGCTACTGAGCATATTATCAGCCAAACTGGTTAATATTAACTGAAATTCTGAATTATCTGGGATAGAATGAAGAAATCATTTTATTTAGTCCATTGAAGAACACGCTCGTGATCTTTTAACTTACTACAGTAAATGTGAATTCTAGAAATATGTCACACAGCTCCACACTTACATTACGTTTTCATTGTTTTATTCTCTTGCTTGTAAGGCTCTTACTACATCGTTTACTAACATATTAAATTCTCAGGGGATGAAAATAATTATAATAATACTGATTGGGATTTGTTTTGCTTTTTACCTGAATTGGAATGAGGAAAAAAGAGTCTACAAATTATTTTGGCTTTGCTTCAGTTTTTAGTTTTAAAATCAGGTACATTTTCTTTCAGAAAACTGAGGCATGGGAGAGCGAGAAGACTGAGGAAGACATGGAAGAGTATATTTGGGAAAACAGCTCCTCGCAGAGAAATGCCCTGGCTACACTACTTCAAATAAAAGCCACGGAGAATGTCAGTAATGTAACTAAGGAAGAGCTTCTTGCATCTGAAGTAGTTAGAAATTACAGAAACTCTGTAATTGCACTTAAAAATGAAGGTGAAACAGAAAGTAACATGTCTCAGTATAAGGAATCTGTGAAAAAACTATTAAATATACAAGCATTACCATGAAAGATTCTGCAGGTACATTTAGTTATTACAGAAATACTAAATTATAATATGTTGATATTACTGTATGATATGGATTCAGAACTTTAACCAAAACTATGAAACTTGTTGATGAGTTAGTCTTGAAAGTAGTTAGATTTTTCTTTCTTTTTTTTTTTTTTTTTTTAAATTTTCTTGTAAACATAACTGTCCAGGAATCTTGTTCTTGAATAAAGTATGCCTTAAGTCATATATTGGTGACTTGAACATTCTGTTCTGTACTTTCGTCATGGTTCTATGTTTTTTGTTTTTGGGTTTCAGTATTCCACATCAAAACATCATGTAGTGTACGGGGCATTAAAGTGTCACTGCCCCAATTCCAAGTACCTATCCCTGCACATTACAGCAGTCACGGGATCTGGCCATTCTGGGTAGGGGGAGGCACTCTTTTTGCTGCCTTGCAGTGGCTGCTGAAGGGTGCTTTCCTGGCCGTTTCAAGCTTTTCAGGTTTGACTCGGTCCCGGGAACTCTCTCATCTTGTCTGATTTATTAATCTCAATTTCAATTAAATTGTATATATTGTGTTATCTTGCATTCCAATATTATAGTAAAATAAGTTTTCCTCCATAGATTGTTGCCGCTGTTCTTTTCCTCCCTTCCTTCCTTCCCATTTTTGTGGGACTGGAGTGGGGGGAGGGCAGAGGCCTGTTGCCCCCTGTCATGGACATAGATTGATCTGATCAACTCCGTGACTCCATTTCTTAGCCTGAGAAATCCTGTCTTAGTTCTGTGTTTGTTCACATTCTGACTTCTCACACAACTTCTTTTGATGTATTATTTTTGAAAACTTTCAAGTTATGAAATGGGTTGAGTTCCAAGTTCCATTAACTTAATTAAGAGATCCAAAGTTGTTCAATGCTTTCCAAGCATCTCAGATTTTTTTCTACCTCAGCTTCCTTTCTGGAAAGTAAAGATTGTGTTACCTAAGTTTAACTGTTGGAGAGATGTTGAAGTACACTGAGTGATATGAGGTTCTCGGTTGACATCACAAGGGCTAACATACTCTAAATTAGAATACAATAATGGAACAAAATGTGGCAAGAGACCTGAGAACCACCTTTATTGTATGTGCTTACAACTTTTTATACCTGTGCAACAACTTGGTCACATGTAGAACCAGGTACCTTGTGTGTGTTTACATCTGGCTCAAGTAGTTGCTGAGCTTGTTTACTCATTTAGCAAGGTTATGACTTTCACTGTCCCACAACAAAATAAGGTACGAAATGGGATGGGGATTGCAAGATGAACTGACAGTTATTTACAGAATACGAAAGTAGCTTGGGAAGAAAGAATGAGGGTTGCTGAAATTGAGGGCTGGTGGAGTGGTGAGGTGAGTACACTGCCTAAACAGGAATGGATTGAGTCTTAGTACATTGAGGCCTTCTGTGTTCTTTCTTGTGTGTAGTATTCAGATTTGGCAAGGAAAAAATGTGTGTAGCTTCCCACTTAATAAATAATAAATTCCTTTTTGTAATAGATAGCAATTAACTTCTTCCATTGTTCATCATGGACTTTAAATGGATTTAAGTAGATGCCTGTGACACTTGTAGTTCAAATAAATTTGACTTAATAATACCAGCAGAAAGAGCAGCAAAGCAAGGCAAATTGATTTTTCATTTTATTACGTTAGCATTTCATTAACTTGGCAGCTAATTCATGAAAAACCTAAAAATAACCAGGCTTCTAGAGTTCTCTCAGAAGTATTTGAGCCAAGCTTATTTATGTTCTATAAAAGCTTCAGAAAATAAGACAAGATAAAAGCTGACATCTCCTTAGTGGCAGGGCATCAAAGTGGTGGATCGTGACACCACCACATGAGTGGTGTTTTTTTTTTTTTTCTCATTCCAGCTATTTAATGGGAATTGCTTAGAACAATATTGGGACTAATTCACTATGTTCCGTGAACACATCCAACACTTACCATTAAATCAAAGATACCAATTTTCCAGTCATTTCTGGCTTACTGACTCCTTGGTTACAGAATGCTTGGCCAAATGGCTTTAAAAATCTACAGCATTGACCTCCAACTTGCTTTTCAATGTCTTTGTCACTTCCTCTCCTTGCTAAGAAACATATGAGCAAGAATAAGATCTTTATAATCCTGCAAGTGCTCAGTCTAACTGCTAGAAAGGAAATATCAAATTCAGCTGCATTTGTGGTTTTAGCTAATGATCTGTGTTACAGATCAGAAGTGCAGAATTTGTGTAATGCAGTAGACTGGATCACAGGTAGATTGGATGATATTTTGAGCTCTCATCTTCGATATTTCTTATTTCTTACTTCTCCCTCAAAATTGTTTATGTGTTTAGGGGTGACAGTATTTTGCTGTGATATTGTAGAATACGTAAAACTCTGGGATCTTAACTCCAGTGTGAATCCTTCCAACTTATTGTAGTTTAAAAGCTGTGAAGAGTTAAGAGTAATAGATTTGCAGGTTATAGTAGTAAATACATCTTTATCAGTGGTCTGTATCATACATTATAATACAAATGCATGACTCTAAGATTTGTATCCCTCAATACGTCTATGTGCGAGTGTATGTACACATTCTAGTACAGGGAAGTGCTCAGGGTTTATGTTACTTTTAAATGGCAATGAAGATAGTTAACATATAAATTAGGAATCAGGGCAACCCCCCAGTGCATAGACTGGGAAGTAAGGTGAAGCAGAAAACGATATACAGTATTTGGAGACATTGTCTCTCTCCTTGGGCAATTATTTTACTGGTGATTACTGGCCAGATGGCAGGTTCCTGACAGCCCTGACCTCAGGCAATTCTGTCCACCACCAATTGAAACTTGAACAGGAAGACTACTAGATGTACTTCTCTGCGGTCATTGCTTCTCTAACCTCCAAGTAGCAGATGCCTTATTTCAAATCCAAACACTTGTCTCCACAAACTGGAAAAGTTCTTTGCTGCAAGGGAAAAATAAGCTGCCTCCAATGGGAAAACATCACAGAAGTTAAGTTCTTGGCCCTCTGAACGAGTTCTGATGCATAGCTTCACTGGTGCTGTTGAGGAGCCTAACTTTTCTTTTATCTCCCGTATAAACATTCCAAAGAAAAGTTGAAATCTGATGTTAGGTCAAACAGGAAAAGAACTTGCTTTGTCAGGATTCTGACTAATTTTTTGCATCTTAGAAACTGCTGTAAGCACTGTCATAAGATGTCTTTAGTAAACTGTGTTAGGAATTGCGAGGTAAGATGTTTGTTGTCACTATGTTTTCTTGAGGTTTATTGTCTGCATTGTGTCATGCTTTTGCCATTTAAAAGTGACACTAAACATAATCTGCTTCTAAGATTTGACAAAAAGGCTGTAAGACAGACATGGTTTGATCTTTGGCAGAGAGGATAGATGTTAGAACTGGTTGGGGTTTCACTCAAATGTGACTGAGTGTCTGAAAACTCAGTTATAGACAGTCTGCTGGACTTCTGAGAAGTCATTGATACTCCTGGCAGGAGCTGACACTTCGATTGTGTTTTTGTGCTTAGCATTGCTACAAACACAGCTAAGAAATGAAAGGACTATAAAAGGGACGTACTATCTGAACAAAAAATCTTTCTACCTAGTCCCTGGTACCTAAAATGTATGTGTTAACTTTCTTGTTACTGCACTAGTCTGTAATAAAGTAGTCCTGCTACAACTGTGTTTTATACAAAGGCTGCTCTGAAAGTAATGCCTCCCATTTTACTATGTGGGCCCATAACTTCAGAGGTGGATGTTGGTGGTATGGTAGTAGAGGTTGAAAGTTCCTGCCAATATTCTGTTACATTTTGTTGCTGTGTGACAGATGGCAGCAGAGAGGGGCAGTCTGACAACATGGCATCTGACATGGAAGTGGATATGAAGCAAAGGTGTGGAACTGAATTCCTCCATGTGGAAAAAATGGCACCTATTATCATTCATCAGTGCTTGCTGAACATATGGAGACCAGTGGATCTCAGCACAGTGGGGTGGTGGGTGGTGCATTTTGGAAGTGGTGAGAGCGACATGAAAGACAAGCCACCAGACAAGCTTCTTATCCTATGTCACTCTCTATTGTGACAATGTAAATTAGTAAATATGTTCTATCAAGAACTAAAATTTCTTATAAACTTCAGCTCCTTAAACTGCAGTTTGCTCAGTGTGCCCTAAAATATAATTTTAGGGTGGTCTTTTCCTCTGAAACCAAGCTGCTCAACTGTAATTAGATATACATGGGACTTTCTAACTTCATCACTATAATTATTAAGCTTTACATAAATCTTACTATTTTTAACATAATTTTCTACATAGACACATGACAATCAATTTTATTGTTGCTTGTTTCCTTTAATAACATGAGTGTAAACTTGTCTAGGATATAGATATTTCTTATTATATCTAGTGAAGAAAGTGAGAAACTCTGAGACATCAACAAATATAAAAGAGAAAGAACAATCCTGACTACTGCTGAAAATGTTTGCTTTCCTAAGCAATGTTCCTGAGCAAGATAAGTCAAAGAAACATCTTGTTGATGTAGTCATTTGATTTATGTTCAGGAGTAGCAGTTTTATGAAGAGAGTACACAGGGTGAAGAAACAAAAAGTTTGTTTTTAATTATAATTCTAACTTCTAAAGCTTTAAAATCTTTTGTATATCGCTGTGCAATGTACATTAAATGTCCGTATTAAAAAAAGCAAATGATGTAAATGATAAATATGTGTGGGCATAATAAAGCAAGTGAAGGTGGACAGTACAAATTGACCATAACTGCAATTCATGAACAGTTGGTGGTTGCATTTGTGCTTTCCTTAGTAGTAGTAGAGTGGATCTGTCAGTGCATCACACAGCAATTAAGTTTTAAAAAGAAGTCTAATGGTAGTAGGAAGTAGTGGTACTAGTCTAGGAGGGCTTCAGAAACATTTCAAGTTATTGTCAGAAGATTGAAGTGAAAGCAAAGCATAAATAATTGGATGATCAGATGTTTGAGTTAATGGAAGTCAGTAGTTTTGGAGCCTTACGTTATTAATGGGCATTTTTCTTTGAGGAAGTAAACAGTGCGTGTTAAATTGTTTTATTCCAGTATTAGGAGTATATAGTAAAAAACAATCTAGAATTTAACAGGAAAAAATGAATACAGTTTTTATGAAAACAACTAGATCTGGAGCAATTAAATAAATGCTATCATTAAATCTTTTGTGATATTATAACATTTAAATCAGTTTTTCTAAGGCTGGTGAAAGTCAGGGCAGAGGTCACGTAAGCTGCAGTGAATCTGCTCTCTTAAATTAGGGTAAGCGTATTGTTTTTGTTAGGCGTTATTCTGAGTCAGATTTTGTACTAAAATATGCTCAAACAGATTTGAATATGTAATGAGACCTGTGAGTGTGCAATTCTTACCCAAAGAGACCGTGGAAATATGTTTAATTGTTGAGAATGAAATTATAGCTGAATGATTCTGAAACTCACTCTTTGTTCTGTAAAAGAATCAGGCCAGGAAATACAATTCATTTTAAAAAAGCTGTTTGTTCCACAACAAGGGTGGTGACTGTATTTTACAGGCCACCTTGGACAGTAGTCTATTTTATTTGCCTAGACATTGTTCTTCCTCTCTGTATGGGTTGGTAGTGACCTTTCCTACTTCTGCAGCACCCTGCTCCAGGAGCCACAGTACAAAAGCAAAGGAAGATGAGATAAGAGCAGAGAATAACAGGAATCAGCCAGACACCCAGAGCTGCAGCTTCCCAAACAGGAGCTTCATTGTCTGAAGTGTAATTCCTGCCACTGTAACCTTTGGTTTCATTTAAGTGTTGTTTGCTGCTGTTCAGATGAGGAGGAGTGGGCATGCGGGATAACACCTCTGCAGATTTAGGTATCAAAGTTGAGTGTATAGTCCTTCTGTCTGAGCTAGTGGATAGTCTAGTACTTCCTGAAGTTGTGCTTGTCCTCTTAGCCAAATGGTTATCCAGCAGAGAAGTTGATTCCCTGGAATATGTGCTGCCTTTTGTTTTTACAGCCATCAGGCTTGTGCTGGAGGTGGTGGTAGAAGATGGAGCTTGGAGTAGAAGTGAACTTGACGTAACATTACCATGCTGGCATCTTTCCCACTCAGAGGTCTTTGTGCTGTTTCGCCTTTCGTATTTATTCTGCGAGGTGTAAATACTTGGCCCCTTGAATTTCAGTCTTTCAAAAATAAGAAGGTCTGGATCAATCCCTATTAAATCATAAACAATATTAGTTTATGTGATAAAAGCTCATCTGCGTACAAGAGAAGAAGAGAATCCATTTGACCAGCAGCTCTAGAGTGATTGTGCTCCTGGGGGCTCATGCATCCAGGTGCTAGCAGTTGAGGAGACTGGGATCCAGGGGCAGATGCTGATTGTCTGAGCCAAGCTACTGGAGCTTTAAGACAGTTTGTATATGAATTAAATATATATTTAAATATACACATTATCATATATATATGTATATACACATATATATATTAAATATATATACACGCATATTAAACTGTATATTCTCACTATATATACATATGTATATTTTCAGTAGCAGTTCTCTATGTGGCTGCACGGCACGGAGGACAAGGCTCTTGGTACTGCCTTCATGTGTCTGCTTTATGCATCTCACTGTGTTACCTATGTGGATAGCTGTGTATATATGTATATGTACACATGTGATATACTTGTATGCATGGTCGATATGCATGTGCTGAATGGGAACAGATTTTTAGCCGTGCTATTGTGTGAATCCAGGGGCACAGAGCAGCAACAGCCTCTCCTCTCTCTGTCAGATCTTACATGGTACTTTTCTTTAACAAGAGTATATGTTAAATATTTGAAGAACAAATCTTGGCAGCAGGGTGCACCCTTCAAGGTTCTTTCCCAAATGCTGAATGAAAGAAAGAGTGGGGAAGTATCCCAAAAAGTATGAACATTAAAGAAAAAAAAAGTATTACACATTTTTATCATTGTGTGTTGTTACAAAAGGTCTTTTAGCAACTTACTATATATATACATATTGCTGTGTTTTCTGCCTTTATGCACACAATATTTGATTACCTGTCGTGATGTTGTACAAAACAACGTTGATTCTAGCCTTTAGTATGCAACTTTCCAGTGCTGGGCAAGACACGTGCAAGCAATTCATATTTTCATTAGTAGCTCCATGGTAGAACACTGCTAGATTACAGGAAACTATAATACAAAAAGAACAAAGCTGGATTTATCAGCACTATAACTGTTGTATTTTCCATGTTTTTAACAAGGGCTTCTCTGAAAGTAATGCCTCCTAATTTGTTGGCCCATAACATCAGAGGATGTTAGTGATGTGGCAGTTGCTACGTGACTGATGGCCGCAGAGGGGCAGTCTGACAAAATGGTGTCTGACATGGAAGGGGGTATGAAGCAGAGGTGTAGAATTAAATTCCTCCATGCAGAAAAAGTGGCACACAATCATCACACTGTAACACACACTGTTTGTTTATGGAGACCAAACAATGGATGTTAGCTTGGTGAGGCAGTAGTGGTTTGTCTCAGTAGTGGTGACAGCAATGCAAAAGACAAGCCACATTCCAGACAGCCAGGTGCAGCTGTCCTACCATGAAGTGAGGAGTTTCTTGGCCAGCTGATCCAAGTCAATTGGCAGATTACAACCATGGAATCATGTATGGAACGAAATATTGGCTTCAGTGCACTGGAACCTGTGGTGGTAATGTTGGAGCATCACAGTTTGCACCATGTGGGTCCCACAAATGCTCACACAAGAAATAGAGAGTCTTGGCTGGACTGTCTTTCCATACCCACTGTACAGATTTAGCATGTTCTGAATACCATCTGTTTGGGCTGATGGAAGATGGACTGTATGTGAAATATTTTCATAGCAATCACACTGTCACAGCAGCTGTGAAACAGTGGGTCAACTCCACTAGTGCAGATTTCTACACAGGCTCTTGCTGGCAAAAATGCATAGCTAGTGGTGACTAAGCTGAAAAATAGTGTTTTGTAGTTAAGCATTTGCTCTAGGAAGCAGTGTTATTGTACTCTTTATATCTGTTGTAATCGCTATGGAAATAAATAAGCATTACTTTCAGAGTGACCTACATGCATTATTTAGCATTAAAAGAAACATTAATACTGACTAGTTGCACAGTACATAAAGTCTGTGATTCTCTCATTATCATGCAAACTTCTTAAGCACCCACTTGTAAAAGTAGAACAACTTTAACTATATTCATATTTTATACCTAGAGAAGATGAAAAGGATAGCCAAATGAATTCTAAATGAATTCTCAGAATAAATAAAACCATATGCTGTAGCCTGCAGCCCTCTCTTATCTTTCCTTTATATCTTTATTGCTATTTCTGAAAGTAAAGCTGTCAGTACAAGTTTGAGGTGTTGGCTCTTGTGCAATTGATACCTGTCTATTTGAAACTGGAGAGCAAACATTTCTTTCCTCAGACTATTAAACAACCATCAGATGGCGTATCCTGAACTACAATATGTAACTGGCATCCTGCCTTGCTTTATCTTGTCTGGCTTTGGGCTATTTATTTCTGTGAATATAATATTTAAAACAATTCATCATCTGTATTTGGAGACTGGCTTCTCTCTTACCACCTGAGGAAAGTGTCACTGGGAACTAATTTTCAGAACTATGTAAATACCTGAATGCTAGTGGTTTAAGATAGCTGAAAGCATGAAAATGGAGATTTAGGAGTCAATTTAATTAAACGCTTTTGAAAATGTTATATTATGTGCTCATAGAGATGCTTCAATACTCAAGGTGAATGTTATACTCAAAGTCAAAATATCAAGTCAAAAGTCGAATTTATTTTATATCACTGTGCTTGGAGTAGGATCAGTGTTAATTTTTGTTTAGTCACATGAAGGTTTTTTTGTTTGTTTTTAATATTATAAAATCATTCTAGTTGCAGGGTAATGATGTCAAGACAATAATGGAAAAGCTTTATTTTACATGAATTGTTAAGAAACTACCTAGCTTTAAAATATTTTCCATTTACTTTGGTATTTATTGTAAATATTGCCTTACATTTATAAGTAATGATACCAACTTGTAATATTCATGTAGTGAAAAAGTAATGCAACTCTTTCCTCTTTCCACAGTATGTGTAACTAGAAAACTAACCCTATCTTATCAACAAATGAGAAGAAGAAAGAACATTCTCTCTACCCAGTCTTGCTATCTTTTCTGTATTCACTGTGTTTTTTTCAGTTAGTAATCTAAATACTGCATTGAATAACTCGGTAAACACGGCTAGAAAATATTTTTCCATCATAATGAACATATCAGATGTCAGAGATGAACACTGTTTTCAAAAGATGTATACCATGTGATTTAAAATTTGCAATCAAAATGCACCCTGTCTGAAAAATACAAATTCAGCAGCTTTCTGGAATACTGACTGTATATTGTACAATGTTTTTTACCTATTTGCATGAAGTATTCAAAGTTGTCTGCACAGCTCAAACAAAAATAGTAATACTTGCAAGAACAACTAGAATCCTAAGCTGTAATGAGTAGCAAGTAAAGTCAGTACTTGATATTGAATGTAAGTCAAAGGGGTTAAACAACAGTTTCTCTTTCACTGAGACCATGTTCTATCTCTAACTAGGCTTCATCAGTTTCCAGTTATGAAAATAGCAGCTGAGCTTAGAGAAGGCTTTTACAAAACTAGAATTGGTACAAAAAAGTTATGGCTATTTATAGCAATAGAAGAACAGTGCCTGCCAGAAACAGAATAATTTAAAAGGACTACACAAACTCTGACTCTATTATGTATCAATTAGTTTACATTTTTCTTTAAAAGATTACAAGTACACTGTAGTGTTCAGAAAACATCTGTAGCCAGTACACCTTGATGTACTTCCTGAGAACTATAGACATTTACACAAATAGACAAAAAAGAATATAAAAATATAGACATATAGATTAAAAAAAAAAGAATATAAAAACAGTTCTAGTCATCAGTGAACATTTTGTATCACTTTTAGTATGAGCTCACAATAAAAATAACAAAGGCCTTCAAATATTTCTATGAAGTGTCTGTGTAGTAGTTGCTTTTCTGTGATACCTTTTGCTGATAGAATGTTAAACAGCCTGAAAACACTAAGAATAGAATATTATGAATATTATCTTTTTTTTTTTAATCAAAATTTTCTGATACTTGCTCAGAGTGATTTTTTTTTTTCCAGTAGAAAACTGTTCTTCACTTTCCTTGTATGTTATAGCAACGTATAACTTTGCTTTGAAACCCAAGTACTTAGTGTTCTGGATTTTGTTGAAGAATTGACATTTTGTACTATCTGTATGTTTTATGCTTGTTTTTCAGTATGATACATGAACATAGTGTAGGTTTGGTGATATATATTGCAAGGATATAAATTCTTAGTTGAAAAAATAGAAGATAAATGAAAATACATGAATTTGTTTTAAGGTAAGAGTGAGATTTCAAATCCTTTTCTATCTTCAAAGTTTGATCAAAGTTCTGTTGTTGTTAGAAAATCATATTTTTAGCACAACATAATTCCAGAAGTTTTTCATCATGATTAGTATACTTGCTTTATGAAAATATCATTAATATTAAAAAGAAAAAACATACAGCTTCTGAAGAAATTGGCTTTTGAGGAAGTATTCTGAGTATTCTGAGGAAGTATTTTGAGGAAGTATTGGTAAATGCGTTAGATTTTATTGCATAAAATTGAGTAAGAATAGTAAATCACAAACCTATTTTGGGGGTGAGAAAAAATAGTTCTTTGGAAAAATACGTAAAAAGCATGCTATAAGATATTTCACATCACCTTGAGGAGGTACAAGCCAACTATGCCATTGTCTGTTTTTAAATTATTTCAAAATTTGTATTTATCTTCTATGATTACTTTTCAGTAACTGTACTATTACTGAGAATCCAGCAAATAAGACTGTCTTATCAATTGTCAGTATCTCTTGAAGTCTTAATTAGGACATTTATTGACAACATCTGTGGTAGGCTACATCTGTCTCTTTGGGACTGTATGGAAATTACAATCTGATTTAAAGCATGTTTATGAAATGCCATCTGATATCTCCATACTTCAGTTAAGGTTATAACAAATCTGCACTTGACTGTGAAAGATTATAAAAACAAGACTCCAATTACCATTACTTCATTACGTACTTAGTCTCACATTTTATGACCAAAAAGGTTATTGTCCAAAAAGGAAAAAATGTTACTAAAATTTTTATAATTATTCTTTATTCACCTTATTTAAAACAGAAGTTGGCTCCAGAGTATATTTCTACTGTAGGAATTGAAAGAAGATCCAAATATAAGACTTGTGTGAAGATTCTATCCCCCGCCCCTCACAGCCATTCTCACTAGCTTCCATAACATTCATGCACTGGGATCATAAAAGGGAAGATTAATTAGATGAAATATGGTGTGAACACAGAGCAGGAGAGTGTTCTTTCCTCTCAAAGAAATGAATACCCTTGTATCTCAGAGATAGCTAAGTAGTGTGATCCCTCCCTTCCACAAACCATGTCCTCATCTACCAAGGAAGAACCCTATTGTAATCAGTGTCTATTTACAGTGGAGTAGAATTTTTCTGTACTTCTGTTCTTGTTTTCATGTATGCCACAGTGTTTATAATAAACAACTCACCATTCCTCTGAAGGCAGCAGGTTCTGCTGCACTGCTGGGAGGAGACTTCTGCGTAAATCTTCAGCACCTGGGCTCCTCTCTTCTGTGATTCCTGCAGGTCGATCAGAAGACCAGGAAAGCGTCGGATCCAGCAGTTCTTGTAAAACATGGTGGGTGTGCAGAGAGAATCTGACTCCACTGCCAATCCCAGAAGCAACAGCACCTCTGATATTGCCACCAGCAGAACCATCTCTTCTGTGTAATTGGCTTAGTGAGTGTGCTTTCTCCTTCATGGATGTGCTGAAGTTCGGACCAGCTTTTTAAGAGACATTATCTTGAGTCATAAGGACGCTACCAATTCTGCCAGGGGATGAAGTCAAGACAAGTTTTTTTTCAAACAATTCTGGTGATGTTGTTTGGCCTGCTGTCAAGGGAAGCAGTCATTCTATGAGCTACATATGATTATAATAATAATTACTATTTTTCTCTGCATTATTTGGAGAAAGTTTTTGAGAGACAACAGGCTTGTGCATGTACTGCTTGTAGTCATTCAGAGATCTTGCTTCTGTAATCTCAAGTCTGTCGTAAGTCCTTCTAAGACCAAACTATGCAGACAGCCTTAGTGTGTGACAAATAATGGTAAGCACAGTATTCCGTTTCACCTCAGCTCTGAAAGTATGCAGCCCTGTCATTTGAGAGCAGGTGGGTCTGCTACTTAGTTCATCCTCACTGCTACTCTCAGTACAGAAAGAACAGCTCCGCTTAGTTTCTTAATGCATTTTGAATTATCTGGTTCTTGCAAATTTAGTTTCCTTCTTGAGTAACAAACTGAAGCATCTAATAATGTCTGCCAGCCAGAGGTGAAAATTTGTTCTTCTCCACTCTACTTCTGTTGTAAAAGTGGAATGATTTTATTTGCAAGGATCTAGCAATAGATAACTATGTCTAGAGAAGGCTGTAACCTACAGAATCACAGAATTACAGAGGTCAGAAGATTATCAAGTCCAATACTCTGCTAAAGGAGGTTTCCTATAGTAGGTCACACAGGTAGGTGCCCAGAAGGTCTTGAATATCTCCAAAGAAGGAGACTCCACAACCTCTCTGGGTGACCTGTTCCAGTGCTCTGTCATCCTCACTGTAAAGAAGTTCTTCTATATATTTGCGTGGAACTTTCTGTGTTCCAGCTTTTGGGCATTGCTTCTTGTCCTATTACTATACACCACTAAAAAGAGTCTGGACTTGTGCAATTGACTCCTGCACTGTAGATATTTATAAGCACTGGTCGTATTCCTTCTCAGTCTTTAAGTTGAACAAATGCAGGTTTTCAGCCTTTCCTCAAATAGGAGATGCTTCAAGCCCCTTAACATCTTTGTCACTATCCACTGGACTCTCTAGGAGATACCTGTATTTTTAGAACTGGGGAGCCCAGAACCTGACATAGTATTCCAGATCTGGCCTCATCATGGCAGAGGTAGAGGGGGAGCACCTCCTTCAACCTGTTCAACTTACTCTTTTTAATGCAACCCAGAATAAAATTGGACTTCTTGGCTACAAGGCCATGAATGGCTTGTGGCTAACCTGTTATCCACCAGGTCCTTCTCTGCAGAGCTACTCATCAGCTGACAGTTCATTAACCTATAGTTATTTCTCCTCAGGTGTAGGACTCTTGCTTTTGTTGAACCTCATGATTTTCCTCTCCACCCAAATCTTCAATCTGTCTAGGTCCTGCTGAATGACAGCACAGCCTTCTGGAACGTCAGCCACTCCTTCCAGCTTCATATAACCAGCAAACTGCTGAGGGTAGGCTCTATTCCATCATCCTGATCACTGACAAACAAAACTGGACCCAGCACTGACCCCTAGGGTCAGTTACAGGACCCATTAGTTACAGGACTCCAGCTAGACTTTATGCCACTGATCACAACTCTATGAACTCTTCCAGTCAGCTAATCCTCAACCTATCTCACTGTTCACTCATCTATCCTGTACTTTCTAAACTTCATTACAAGGATACTGTGGGAGACAGTGTCAAATGTCTTGCTGAAGTCAAAGTACACAACATCCACTGCTCTCTCCCCATCTATTCAGGCAGCCAAGACATCAGAGAAGGCTACCAGGTTGCTCAAGCATGATTTCCCCCTGTTGAATCCATACTCCTGAAAACCTCCTTCTTTTCCAATTGTTTGAGGATAGTATCCAGAGCAAATTCCATCATCTTTCTAGGGACAGAGGAGAGGCTGACTGGTCTGCAGTTTCCCAAATCATCCTCTACATTTGTCTGCAGACTAGAGAAGTAATTGCAGTCCTGCCTTTAATCTTTCACATATTTAAGAATACTGAATGGTTTGCACTGTCAAAATAACATGTAACATATAACATGTTTATAGTAACTAAAAATGCAGGATAAAACTCCAGCTTACTGGACTGTATTCTAGGAAATACTGACTTCTAAAAGTATTTATTTATTGCTTGTTTATATTAATCAGGTGGTTCAAACTTAATTGATAAGAGACTATGTCAAAAACAAGCAGTTTTGTGATGGATGACTTCAAGAAGGTTTCATAATAGCAGGTAACTGATTAAGAGAAGACTGAGATGGGAATCTTATCCATGTTTATTGATATCCAAAGGGCAGGTGTCAAGAGGATGGACCCAAGATCTTTTCAATGGTGCCCAGCAGCAGGACAAGGAGCAGCAGGCACAAACTAGAACACAGGAGGTTCCATATGAACATGAGGAGAAACTTCCTTACTTTGAGTGTGACTGAGCACTGCAACGAGCTGCCCAGAGATGTTGTGGAGACTCCTTTCCTGAAGATCTTCAAAGCCCACCTGGATACTTTCTTGTGTAACCTGCTGTAGGGAACTTGCTTTAGCAGGGAAGTTGGAATAGGCAATCTCTAGATAGAATCTTCCAGCTCCTACAATTCTGTGATTCAGTGTGATTCTGTAATTTTTCTGCTTATGTTAAAGCTTGGAAGAAGCCTGTGAGAGTGTAAGAAACTACAGATGGCATATAGGAAGGCAACTTTTCAAGCACCTGATCTGAAACCTGAAACTCCTGTGCATACTGTTTCTTAAAAGGATGCAATCTGATCTTTGGTTCCCACTGCTGTGTGCAACATAACATAACATACAGAAAGGATTTAAAATGCTACAATACACGTGTTCACATACACTCACATAGAAGTGCTGACAGAATTAGGCACAAGTTTTCTACCATAAAGATCATGTGTGAAACAGACAACAGTGTTTTAGACAGGAATTTTTTTCTTCAAGATTAGCATTGTCCTGTGAGATGCATAGAGAGTTTCAAGGTCATTTTAATTCTTTAGGCATTACTGCTAGCATTTGTTTTGCAAAACAGATCCCCCATTTTGGAAATGAGACAGCACGTACAGAGTTTTATTCTTTACAGAGCTCCTTAAAAGGTAAGGAGCTCAGCACAGGTTAACTCCTGTTGATCAAATAGCAAGATCAAAGGATTTATTTCTTCAGCTAAAATACTGGCTATGATTATAATGTATATGTAGGGCACCCCAAAAATAATGCCACCTATTTATTTCTATGGAAACTATGACAAATACAGAGAGCACAGTAACACTGGTTCAGCAAATTTTCAGCTACAGAACACTGTCTTGCAGTGTAGTCATTAACTATGCATTTTCACCAGCAACGAACAAGAGCCAGCATACTGTGCTTGTAACCATCTGCATCCATCTACCAGCAGAGGTGACCCGCTGTCACTGTCACTACTGCTGAAAGCACCACAAACCACCTCACTGTGTTCACATCAACTGTTTGGTCTCGATAAACATTCAGCAAGCATCAATAAATACCAGTGGGTGCCATTTTTCCACATAGAGCAATTCCGTTCCACACCTTTGTTTTCATAGGCACTTCCATACCAGACATCATTTTGTCCGACTGCTGCTTTGCTGCCATCTGTTGCATGGCAACAATGTGTAACTGAATATTGGTGGGAAGGTTTAGCCTCTACTGTCATACACCAACATCCATCTCCGATGTTGTGGACTAACACAGTAAAATGGAAGACATTACATTCTGAGAAGCCTTCATATTATAATGTTCTCATACAGACTATGTCTATTGTGAGAGCATTCATTAAATCGTTAAAAGGAGCCTAAGCAAGTAATTATTTAGGCATCTGTCTTAAAATGAGCTGTTGGCATTTCTGTTATTTCACTTGTTGTTGTGATTTATTTATCTGTAGTCTGTTGTGCATTATTTTTGTTTTTATCTCTGCCTGAACATCATTATTTAAAACCTTGAACAGGTTTCAATATACTTTTTTGCAGTCAGTGAAATGCAAAGAGGTGATTGTAAGCATCTGCCTTTGTCACAAGCATCACTGAATGTATTTTTCTGAGATACATTTTGGTTTAAGCTTTCCAAATATTCCAGCGCGCCACTTGAAATGAGACACACTTTTTTGAAAATATGCTTGTATTGTGGTTTTACCTCCAGCATTTAGTATGAATTTTGTCTGTAAGACTGATATACAGTAATATTCATTCTTGACTGCTTTCTTTGCTCCAACTCTTCTCGAAGAAGAGAAGAGTTTCTGAATAATACATTTCTGAATAATATGGGGAAATGTAGAACATAAAGATTAAACTCATAGTAAAGAAGCATTTTTACTGGGTAAAGCTGAATATGTCTTTAGTTCACTGAACTGAATTAGACTACTTGTATGACAAAAAATTTGATATAATAGGTAACTTTAACAGTAATGGTGTATGTATTTATGGTTACTAAATATTGTGATGACTCATCATCTGCTTTTATATAAGTGTGATGCCTTGCAAATTATATATGTAGATATACTTCCTCCTTTTTAGGAAAAGATAATTAATTAAAGACTAGCCTTGTGCCCTATTTCAGTTAGAAGGACTTGGAATATCATACGATTTCTTCAGTTTCAATGATGCTGTGTCTAGACAGGATAAAGTGTAACGCTGGATGTGAAACATGCCTGAACATCTAATCATATTTCAGTCTTCATCTGGCATCACATTTTGATTAAAGGAGCAAATACTCAAATATCTGCTGTTGCCTTTGATGCAGTCACCGAACACGGTTAAGTGAGAGTACTCCTTGAGTTTAACTATGTTGTTTTCAAGATTGAGATTTGGTAACCAGTCAAGTTGTGTATAGATTTATATATCTGCAATATATTTTGTATCTATATTTAGTTTGCCACTGCTTGGCAATAGACATGTTGCTAGTCTTTCTCAGTACCTTCCCATTTTTATCCTGTTCCACTGCCTGCTTCAACTAAGCAGCTATTTTCTACCTCATTACTCAAAACTCTTTCTCCTTTCTCTGTTTCTGACTAAATTATGAGAGCAGGAACAGCTGCACTTGTTTAATGAATAAAGATATTGAAATAAATAGATAAATTACGTAGACAACTTTCTTTCAAAACTGAAAAGTATTTTCTGTTAAAGCTTGAAGTCTTCTGCCACCTTACCCAAAATTTCACTTTGACTTTTGGATGGAAAATGCATATTTGATACTGAAATTTAGTTAAAACTTTTTGTAAGAAGTAGATATCTGAATCTTACCTGCAAACTAGTAACCGACTGTTCCATGTGCTCTGAAAGGAGGGATCAAGAGACTTTTGCTGTTAGTAAGGATTCTCCGGTATCAAGCCAGATATCATGCTATTTGTAATTCTTTTCACCATTCTTCTCAAATTTCTTCCTGGAAAACAAACCGTCATTTACCTGTTTTCTGTAAGAATACAGATGCATTTGCAGGTCTTTCAGTAAAAGAGATACAAGTGTACCTGGCACAAAGGAGAAGAATGATATTTCTTGTTATAAACAGAAACAGCACCTGAAGTGTTCCACCTGAGCTGGCAGGAATAGTGGCACAATCCAAAAGCTTACTAGTACAAAGGATTCATCAGACATTAACTCTTTTTTTGCCAGATTTATATAAAAGACAACTTTTCCACCTGTAGTTTCAAATATATATATGCTTTTTTATTTAGCTTATATGGAATATATGTTTCTAGTACTTGGAATATGTAAAGACCAAAAAAGAAGATCTCTATGGTTCAGGGAAGTGTTCCTGAAAGTGATCTAAAATGCCAAGGCTTTGATTCTGTAGTCAGGTCAGCCAATCTTAAATTATAGAGCACAAATAGTTTGGCTTTGTTCACAATTGCCCTCTGGCTGCTTAGAGGGAACAGATGAACAGTAGATGTGTCCTTGTGGCTTTGTGGCATTACACTTTTTTTCTGCTTGAAGTGCTATGATAGAAAGTGTTGCACCTTGCTCTTTCCCAACCAGCACTAGGTCTTTTCTTGGAAAGTTTCCCATTTTCTGCTCTGTCAGTGCTGGTTAAACCAGAGGTGCATGAGAGATGGATGCATCCATTGTGTAGATGCAGACTAGACAACAGAGAACAGGTGGGCCTCATGTCTGTGCCTTCTCTGTAGAAGGTTATGGGAGAGAAGCAAGAGATGCTCTTAATGCCTGTATGTAGCCAAGAATCACTCCTTGATGCTGCCATGTTGATACACAGTGTAGAAAATACGTAGAAAATTATTCTTGCAAACACAGACCCAGCCTCTTTCACACTTAGGAACTGACCACTGCTAGAAACCAGTATATATATATTCTCTACTGCAGCTGAAGTCAAACACATTAGCTTAAATCATGTATGTCCAACCTTTAGTCTTGCCTGGGCTGCATTAATTGAAGAGGAATTGTCTTGGGCTGCATTTACATAGGTCGCTTAAGAAGTAATATCTCCTACTTATTTCCACAGAAATGACAACAGACACAAAGAGCACAGTCACATTGTTTGATAAAGAAAACTCACATCTACACAATGCTATTTTCCAACATAGTCACCACCATTAACTATGTGTTTTGGCCAGTGATGAACAAAAGGCGGCATACTCTGCTTGTAAAAATCTATCAGCAGAGGTGACCGATTATTGCTGTCTCCACTGCTGAAATGCACTACCCACTGCCTCACTGTGTTGCTATCCACTATTTGGTGTCTATATATATATTCAGCAAGTATTGATAAACATCAGTGGGTGCAATTTTTTTTGGCATAGAGGAGTTCATTTCTACAGCTTTGCCTCATACCCATGTCAGATGTCATTTTGTCAGACTGCCCCTTGGCTGCCATCTGTTGCACAGCAATAAAAGCTAATGTTTGATTAGTGCTTAGGGGCTGGCTGGGTTGCTTGGTGTGGCAGAGACACAGCCATTATGGTGCAGGACAGAGGGTGGGATGCATAGTGAGTTGTGTGATGCTGCACACAGCCTGCAGATTGGACATGCCTGACTTAATCCATTTGTGTTATAGACTGATAGAGCAGCTGAAAGTGGACAATTGCAGCCAAGATGCAAGACTGAAATCTTCATCTCATTTGACTTAAGTACATACATGTGTTTTTTATTTTACTACAGAAGTGAAAAGATAAAAATTTTACCTAAGCCTGAATATTTCGATAATGTCAGAATATATCACTGCGACTCTTACAGTCCAGAAGTTGTAGATGTATCATGAAATGATGAAATATAATACTTTGAAACAAATGTAAATGCAAAATATCTCTGACACTACTGGAAAAAACTGTGTTCACTTTCTTCTTTCAAATTTCCTTGAAATCAAAACATATCTGTGAAGTGTTTTAAGTAAACAAACAAATAAACCCTAGATTTCTTGAGATAACTTCTGTTAAAAACAACTTTTAGCAGTCAGATTTTGGTTTGGAACAATATACTGACTTCTTAATAAATTGAATTTTCTCCAAATTTTGGGATAGTTGGATCCAAGACTCTGATTATAAACACATTTCTCTGTATTTCTTCTCTGGTAAAAAGAGGTAAACCTTTACATTTTCTATCCTTGAGAGATTGTGGAAAAAAAAACACCAACATATTTTAAACATAGTTTCCAAGGGGCTGCCAGGCCCTAAGATTCTCTCAGAACTTAGCCTCAAAATAATTCTGGCAAAGCTTCAATATGAAAGCTGGAGTCCTTGTGTTCAAACAAAGAGTAACATAAGGCTTAGACAGATTAGTTTATACAAATATAAATCTACTAGCTTACATATAAACTTGAGCCAGGTTTATGACAAAAGGGCACAATGTTTAGCAAACTTTCCAATGTATGATGAACATTTATTTATGACAGAACAGAGAGCTAAGCAAAATAGATGGAGTTTCAATATTGTGAAAAAATTCATACTGCTGGATGCATAGTGAAAACTTTCCATGCAGAATACTGTTCACCTAACCCACTTGTTTTGTACTAAAACTTGGTTCCATCTGTTTATGTGAGGATAGAAATGTGTGTGATGTTTTAACAGCTACCACTTTACTCTCCTCTAGACAAAGTTATGCAAGAAAATTCTGGCCTAGGCATGCCCAATGAATTTGTTCAAAGCAACTAAATAGCATTTTAACTATTTACACATTCCCACCTCGATTCTGTTGTCTGGTGGCTGAAACTTACCACAATCCACGTAAAACAACAGTACACAAACAATTAGAACAGCCTCTGTTGCCTGTGACATACAGTCTAGTCTTAATCATTCATTAAATTTGATTCCAAAAATATCATGCAAACATTTTTTCAATACCATTATAAAACATTTGTGTTACAATCAATAAATACTAAATTGTACATTCAGTGCAGAAAAAAATTAAACAAAAGAATAGGGAATAAAATCAAAATGTGAAATTAAAAATGAGTGTTTGGTGTTTTTTTTTTCCTTAATAATATTGTTAATGGAATTGTATAAGAAGTACTAAGAAATGCTTTGTTTGGCTACAAATATGGAGAGGAGAAAAAAAAAAAAAGCCTTTGGTTAGCAGTTTGTGGGAATACAAGAAAAACTGTTCAGAGCAGAAGCAATGGAGCAAAATAAACATCATGAGAACCACGGACACTTCTAGAAGAAGAAAGAATGTCTCACGGCTCTGATTGGATAAGCGCTTGCGTGAACGGTTGAAGACTGTTTTGCAGAATGCTCTGTTGACATGTGAAGATGGATGGGAAAGTTGTAGGGTGGATGGGAAAGCTAGAAAAAGAAAACTTGTGAAGGTACATAAATGATGTGAGAAATTGTAATAAACGATTTGGATCGTTCACATCTGAGTCCATGCATCAGATGCTGCAGCAGCTCATTCTTCACAAATGATAAAGATTTCAGTTAAAGCATAATTATGCTCCAGTCAGGTTTTCTTAGAAATGCAAATATAATTTAAAACACTGACATTTTTAATGCTGAAATAGTGCAGGATATTTCCTATGTTCCACAGATACTTACTTTGTATCTTGTAACAAGGAAAATACTAAATAATGGCAACAGCTAGTGAGTTGTTTCCAAAGACTAATTCCTTTCTTGAGTAATTTACTATTTTTCAATATACAGTTCCCTGGCAGTACAGTACAATTCCCTGGCATCTAGAGGGAAGAATGTGGCACTTTATATTATAGCGTTAATATTTTAAACAACCCCTGATTTTCCCGCTCACATTTCAGACTGACATGGTGAAAGGAATTCAGAGTTTACCTTGTTGTTTTTTGGGTTTTTTTTTTTTTTTTGCCCTCTTCATGTCCGGTCCTTAAAACAATCAGCTTGATGCTTCTTATTAATTCCCATGTATCACCCAGTGTCTCTGTATTAAATCAAGATAAGGTTTGCTTAAAACATACACAAAACAATGCAGTTCTCTACTGCTGCAGACTTTTTATGCAGTCTTGGGCTAGACTCACAAAGAAATCATAGGGTCACAGAATCATAGAATGGTTTGGGTTAGAAGGGACCTCAAGGACCATCAGGTTCCAATTGCCCCCTGCCACAGGCAAGGTTGCTAACCTCTATATCAAGTACCAATTCCAATTGACCAAGGCTGCCTCCAGACTGGCCTTGAACACCTCCATAGATAGGGCATCCACAGTCTCTCTGGGCAGCCTGTGTAAGCACCACCCACTCTGTAAAAAAAAATTTCCCCATGACATCTAATCCCTTCTTTAGTTTAAAACCATTCTCCCTTGTTCAATCACTATCTACCCACGCAAAAAGTTGAATTCCTTCCCTTTTATAATCTCCCTTTTAAATATTGGAAAGCTATAATAAGGCCTCCCTACAGCCTTCTTGAACAAGCCCAGCTCCCTCAGCCTGTCTTCATAGGAGAGGTATTCCAGTCCTCTGATTATCTTCATGGCCTTACACTGGAACCTCTCCAAAAGATCCACATCTTCTCCTGTGCTGGTGTCCCCAAACCTGGATGCAATTCACCAGATGGCACCTCACAAATGCAGAATGGAGAGGGACTCTCACCATGTCCATCATCTCAGTCTGTATTTCATGTATATGTAAACCAAGTTTCCTGTGAAGAAAAGCATTTGTCAATCTGATTCTCTGACTGATACTTCGGTTGCTGGTACTTTGTAGAGATATCATAGGAAAAAAGACTGGAGACCTATCCAGCTTGCCACAGAAAATCATCAAGTGGTTTGCTGAGATAAAATAAAGTGACCATAGCTTACTAAGTAAATTGTAGTGGTGTTAAATACCTAAAGTGACCCTAAAGTTTAATCAGGCTTCAGTCTTAGCACACACAGAAGGCATGCACCAGCCTTATAGCTGTTCTGTGCATCCATGCTCTCTGTGAGGGATTAAAGCAGGGAGCCACGCACAAGTACCACTTCTCTGTTATCTCTACCTTTACTTTGTTTTGGTTTGTAGCAGCAGCAGTTCCTCCTGACTGTCTTTCCTTATTTTTGCTATGCTAGCAAAGACAGAGAACTAGAAGAGTGTTTGCCCAGGCACAGTTGGGATCAGAAGCTTAGTTTTCCCATATCATGGTTGAATGGTCTGTTACAAAGGCTGCTGTGTAAAAGAGATTTTTCCATTTCTGAGTCTTTCCAATAGAAAAGAGTGATCTTTTTTTCAGTCCTGGAAACAATTTAGGCATTAAGTAAAGAGAATAGCTTAGGTACTGCACACAAGCAGATATATCTAGCTTGTGAACGCCAAGCAGAAATGGCCATCTCAAGGGTGAGAGCCCTTTACTGACCATTACTGGTAACTTCCTTTTTTATTTACTGGCACACGAGCATTTTTTTTTTTTTTTTTTAAAATTAATTTGTCTCACAGACACTGTAGATGGAGACCTGAAGCATCTAGAACAAGCTTCAAGATTTCACTCCAGAAGCTCAAATCCTAACGTTTGGCATTGAAAAGCTAAGCATAATTACACTTGTCTTCCTCGCTGTGTAAATGTCTTGTTCTTTGGGTCATGTTCTTTTTACACACACTTGTTTAATATCTACCAAACTTGTTTTCATGTTGTTCTATGCTTCAACTTGTTAGAGATACAGATAGTCTTTCATATTTGCTTCAAAGATCACGCCTGTTTTTATAACTGCCTACAGATTTTGACTTTGTAGTTCTAGCACTAGAGATTTCCATTTTCAGCTGTGAAAAATACGTTGCTTACTCTCTTAAGATCAGCTAAGATGACTGCTAGAGAAACAGCAAGACCTTTTCTTTGACTCCAGTATAGCAGGATATATATCACCTATATATACCATATATACCTATAGGTACAGGTATATATATATATATGTATAGGTATATATATATATTGTAGTATATACAATATACTACATTATAGTATATATGGTATATATATATATACCTAAAGGTATAGGTGTATATATATATATATATACATATATATACTACAGTATAGCTGTGGACTGGGAGACAGATCAAATTACGTGTACAAATGCGGAACAAAAAGGCAGTCATTACCTTGATACAACTGCAGCATTAGCACCACGTAAACACAGCACGCAGATTAATATAGTAAGAGAGCAGAAGATCTACCATGTCAGTGTGCTCTACTTAACAGAGTTGCCGAGTCCTAAAGCATGGATAAAAACATAGGTAGCTGAGAATCAGTCTAGGAAAAACCATAGATTGAGGAAACAGATATAGGCTTTCTGCACAAGTGGCTACTTAGTAAGGAGTGCTGCTGTCTCATTGTGCATATGGCAACTCCTACAATGAGACCTACAGAAGTCAGCACTCTCAGAAGTGGTGGGAAGAAAGTACTCACATCTATTAGTACATTACAGAATCGATGCTGTCTAATAAAAACCTCATGGAAGGTGAGCTTGAAATCCCTAGCAGAGTGACAGGTGAAAGCACACAGGAAGACACTAAGGCAGCAGCAGAAATATACTATCTAGGTGCTGGTGTTCTTACTTAAAGGGAACAGAACTTATCATAACTCACTACATGGAAAAAATCACTCACCAATTAGTAGCTAACTTGCCAGTACATCAAACATATGAGATTCCAAACCAGATGTCTAAAGATGGCAAACATACCACCATGTTGGCAATCACACTGTATTCCAGAGGGAATCTTAATGGCCTTAACAGGCATGAGCTCTCTGTTTACATGTAGGATGTTAACCATTACAATGACTTGAAATGTCTGGCTCTGGGAATTATAGTGCAATAGGATGTACAGATTGGATTTCTTCTGAAGAAGTAGGAACCTCAGCTTGTTGTGAATGATATCACTGAAACTGCTGAAACTGCTTTGGGACTGAAAGGATTTCATACCACAAAACAGGCCATTTAAAGCACTTGCATCATCTTGCTTGTGAACTGAGATGGAAAATAAAAATGAAGAGAAATCTACCCTACTTCAACACATACATGCTTTTGTGAAAGTTGGCAGAAAATAACACCTTTAACCTTGATCTTGGCATTGATATCATCTGTATGGACTAGGATAAAGTAGCTGAAGAAAAAAAAAGTGAGAGAGGATCATTTCTCAGAGGAAATTCTAAAAAGCAAACAACTGTTTTTCTAAAACAAATGAAAAAACAACAAGCAAACAATCAACCAAACCAAACCCAGACATTCTGAAGAGTTCTATTAACAAGAGGAAATGAGCAGAGCAAGAAAGGATTTACCTGAGATCTACACAATCTGCAGTAACTGGAGATAAGTCACATTAATGCTGAAAGGAAAAAAACAACTCTATAGACTAGAAATGCATAGAATGAAAATTATATATATGTATATATATGTATATAAATAGGAGAATAGATTGTTAAAGCCTTTTTGTTGCGCATTTTATATTAATTGTCATTATGTAAGAGTACTTATTACAGCATCACCTGTTTCAGAAGTTTAAAAAAGAAAAAGAAAAAACAACCACTTCCGTTGCGCTTCATGCATGCAATAAGGCCAGCACCAGAGCAGCCACTTTAAACATGAAGCTAGATGCTCAGCTATTAACTCCTTGGTTACTTATTCAAACAAGATCAGGGCTGTGCCTGGGGATGATTCTGGTGACTAACTCGTATTTCCTACTCCTGGAACTTAGCTTAAATAGAAAAGACAGAATAGCAGAAAAGGCTACAGTGTCTCTATACCCCAAAAGAGGAGCTGGTACCTGTACAAGAGGAGCACAGTAAGAGTTACTAAATCCTGGAACTAGAAGTGAAAGATGTTTCTTTTCGTTGTGTTTGTTACGCAGAACAGCAGCGAATCGCGCTGCCACCACCCCTTAGCTGTTCAGGGTCACACGCATTTCATCCCACGTTCCAGAACATTCCCCCCGCTGTAGAGCTTCACCACAGGGACATTTATGGCAGCGGGTTGGGGCAGCGCGACCGGCCCAATTCAGGCAGTATGAGGAGGAGGTGAGCAGCTGCTCCCCACCCTGCAGCGGGCTCCCAGAGGGCCAGCAGCCGACTCACGGGGGTGGAGCAAGGCGGCTGAGCACAGCGGCGTTCCCTTTTTAGGGCTTTTTTTTTTTTTTTTTTTTTTTTTTTTTTTTTTTTTTTTTTTTTTTTGCCGGCTCAGCTCCTCCTACCCGGCAGCGATCCCTGGGGCAGAGGTGGAGCCGGCTGGGGCCGGCAGCGGCCGGGTTGGGTTTAGGGGGTCGCGATGTCCCTTGCGGAGCGACAGCGAATGGAGGAAGAGGAGGGGGAAGGAGTCGGCGGCGGGGAGGAAGTGGTTCAGATCCGGTTGGGGGACAAGTGCTACCCGGTGTGCAAGAGGAAGCTGATCGAACAGAGCGACTATTTCCGAGCCCTGTACCGTTCGGGTATGCGGGAGGCAGGGCAGGGCCAGGAAGAGCAGCTGTTGCGCGGAGGGCTGAGCGCGCTAGGACTCGAGCTGGTGCTGGACTTCATCAACACTTCCTGCCTGGCCTGGTTGGAGCAGGAGGGTGAGGAGGAGCCCCCTCTGCTAGAGGAGCTGGTGGAGGCCGCCTCCTATCTGCAGGTCACTCCCCTGCTGCGCTTGCTGCTCTCCCAGGTGCGACTGGGCAACTGTCTGGAGCTACACCACTTGGCCCAGGTCTATGGCCTGCAGGACCTGCACGATGCCTGTTTGGACTTCATGGCTTCCCATTACCACCAGGTGCTGCGCAGGCCCGATACCCACCTCCATCTGCCTCACGCTCTCCAACAGCACCTGAAGGAGAGGCGGATGAGAGGCACTGCCACTCTGGTGGCCATTGGGGACTTCATGGGTACCTCATCCCTGGGCCTGTCCCCAGGCTGTCACCCACAGCCAGAGGCCCCGTGGTCCATGCTGAGGTACAACGAGGAAGCAGAGCAGTGGCTACCCCTGGCCAACAACCTACCTCCAGATCTGGTGAATGTGCGAGGCTACGGGTCGGCCATGCTGGACAACTATCTCTTCATCATTGGGGGGTACCGGATCACCACCAGTCAGGAAATCTCAGCTGCCCATTGTTACAACCCTTGCCTAAATGAGTGGAGTCAGCTGGCTTCAATGAACCAGAAGAGGTAACCTCTGCACCCTGGTGTGCACATGCGTCCCTATCTGTTTTCAAAACAGAGACTGCTGAGTCACCTGGAGTTGGACAGACGCAACCTTACAAGTAGTGATTCAGAGCTGTCTCTTGCACCGTGTGATGGGAAGGACTGAAGGGTTTGGCAGTAGCATGGCAGTCTAAAGGCTTTGGCTTTGCTGGCAGCAGCCCCCCAGCTGTGGCACAGCTTGGCAGCCTCTACTTCTTGGTGACCCTAGAATCTGGCACAGGGAGCTGCTATAGGAAGAGTGAGGAGAATGGGACTGTGAGCAAATGCAGGTGATTGAAGCCACAGCTGTGGGGAAATGGGGATTAGGCATCAGCTGAGTACTGAGATGTGGCCATCTGCCATATGTGGTCACTTTCACCTCTGTGTAAAGTAATGGTGGATTCCCATTTTTCCTTTAAATCCTAGTGTTCTAGGAGCTCCGGTCTCTCTAAACAGCCATCAGTACTGGTAGTTGAAATTCCATTTAAGATAACAAAACAACACAAAAGAAAAATCTATTGTTTTTTTGTAAATTTTAGCTTCAGTACTCTACGTGGTAAGAAGTTTTACTACTCATAATAGAGGTGTTCAGTCCATTAGAGCTAGGGATTGCTGAAAAAGATTGCTGTTAGTTTGTACTTTTATAAAAATCCCAGTGTTTCGTAGGTCTGCATTGTTGTGAAGTGTTTACCAGAAAAAAATGGCAGGAAGATAGTCAGAAATTTCTCAATTTATGAGACTATTTGGACCTAGTAAACATTCAGCATCTTGATTTATTTATTTATTTTTCTTTTAATGTTTCTGATGAAGTTGCTATTCAGAAACTTGTTTAGGAAGCTAGTGTTGATGAAGACCCAAGAAGAGTCCTTCTCCCCAGGAAAGGCTGTGGCTGCTCAGCCTTAGTCGTGTTGAAGAGTCATCAAAATACAGGCTTTTACTTCATTGAAACAAAATATCATAAATAAATTTTCTAGGTATTTCATTTTAGAAAAAAGTGTTTAATTTTTTTTTTTCTTCTGTATCAGAATCAGAGCTGAAGTAAGTAGGGAGTCTAGAATTTGCTTAAGAATGAAAATTCTTTTCTGTCCAGCAAATTGAAGTAGCAGCCAGAGACCCCAACCATTGGCATAAATGCTTTGAATTAGTGTAGTAAATCTGTAATCTCTCTTCCAGTTGAGCTTGCATGCTAAAATGCCTCAAAAACAGAGGTTTGACCTAAAATGACCAATTTTCTACTTCAAGCTTCTTTCACTGCCTGTTTTTATCATTATGAGAAATTCACTGAAATTTTGCCTACCTGGTCAGTCACTGGAATTGATTGGGAACATAGAGTGTGTCTGGTTTGTTGGAAAGACACTGTACAAATAACTGCTATGAGGTGTTTAGCTTTTAAACACTGTGAACAGCTCTTTCTGTGTGCGTATTTCTTGCAGTCTGTTGGTAATCTCTGGAGGCACCTTTGGGGACTGAGCTGTTTTGGTAGGCCTGGTCTATACAGCATTGCCTGCCAAAATTGCAGAAACCACGTTAGACTCAGTAGAAAAGACTGACAGATCAAACCAATCAGTGCCTCCTGTAGAAGCCCTGTTTTGATCAAATTATGAATTTTGGTATTGGTTTGCATGGTGTCCATAACAAGGTAGGTGTTACTATGTGAAATAACTCTGCAGCATGGCAAATGAGAGGGGTTTTAAAAATGTATTGTTAAAGGCCCTTTTTTTTTTTTTTTTTTTTTTTTTTTTCACTTTATTACCTGACTGTTCAAATTCTAGATGAGACTTTTGCTTTCACACTTTCCCATTTTTTCTAGGATATGTAGTCATTATATGAAAGAAATAAATGATTGATTTCTCCTTTTATTAATATTTTCATCTGCACTACCTTGCCAACAATCTTTAAGCCCACAACACCTGGCAGGTGTTACTCAGCGTGGGATTTCATGTTGGCAATTTATGTCGGAAAAGGAGCATGCAAATAGATTTTTTGAAATAGTCACCAGTCTTACATTTCAGTGTAGCAATTGCAGGCTGAAAGGGGCAAACATCATATTGCCTTCTAGGCTGGATGGCAGCTAATGAGGATGTAGCTTCATGAATAAAGAGTAGGGGAAATCTTTCATGGAAACTCTACTAATCCCATCATAAAAGTTGTTAACTTCAACATCTTTGTGGAGTCTCAACCCTGAAGTCTTTTTTTTCTTTTTTTAGCTTCTCTAACCTAACATTTAATCTCTCTGAAACTACCAGATTGACTAGCTGAGCAGCTTGTGGCCAAAATCCAAAAAAGGATGGCTTGTGCTATGGGAGATAAGAAGGGGAAAGGAATTTTTGTACTCAGTGTTTACATTCAACAGGAGCAGCACTGATTCCAATCTACTGATTAGATGAGATGTAGTTTGCTTCGTATTGCATTTTTAGTTTGTTGTGCTGCAGTAAAAACAAGCAGAGCAGTTGCCTAGTATACTGCTTAGGTAACTGGCTTGTTTGCCTGTCTACCAAGTTAGTTGATGTCAGCTGATACAATTACATATTGTGGGTGTGTCTTTTACAAACCTTGAGAGAAAGTTCTACTTCTCACTGAAGTGGGTTTGACTTCAGACAGCATTTTAGCAGTATTTAGATTTGGCCTTTGTGACTGGAACCATGTGTTGGCTTTAAGAGAAGAATGAGAAGAATAAGAGTTACGGATATAGTTATGGATATAACTGTGTTTATTTCATTTGAATCAAGTATTTTGCCTTCAAGGAACTTGTGAATCCTAAAATTTAACTTTAACTATTTAACTCTTTAACTATTTGTTTTATTATAATGTAGAAACTGAGGATGTTGAGATTCATTATGCATTATGCACGCATAGGTGAAATATACCCAACTTACCTCTAAATAGAAAAAAACTGTCAGATATATGCTGAATACTCTGGTTTGTGTTATAGCTTTTAGTTCTTTCTAGGCATAGAGATTTTACTACAATCATTTTAAATTCATTTATAATAGGTAGCTCCCATATATTATTCCTGCAATGCCCATGTAAATTTGAGAAAATATGTCCTTTTTTTACGTACAAAAATTGGATAAAATAATTTGCCCAGGTTCATAGGGAGCTGGTGTCTGAGCCAGGAATTTCTCATCATCTGAGGCTAAGTCTGATGCCAGCCATAACTAATCCCTAACAGATCATAGTTTCTAGATCTCTAATTTTTTTTTCATTCTAGAGGTGTTGCTGTGCTTGGAATAGTGTCTTCAGAGAACTACATGGACTTCTTTGAGGAAGAAACTTCATGTAAAGGTTGCCTAAGACTACTTGGGGTCTTTGGGGATAGGAAGGTAATAAGGAAATTTGAGGTTCAAGTCATGTATTTCAGTACCTTTCCATACTCTTTTTTTTTTCTTTTTTTTTCTTTCTTATGCTAGCAGCTTAAATTGGCCATGTAGAAATAATACAGGATTTCTACTGCATGTTCCAGTCACAGCTGTGTATTTCATGTTTATTTTCTTTCAGCACTCTCATGGCAGATAAATCTTCTAGTCTTGGAAGACCCTTTTAAGCCCCTGGCTGAGATTATATACGTGCACTTTGAATATGGTTTTTGTGAGCCTTCTCTGCCTGAACTGCTGCCACTCTGGGGACTCTTACAGGAATGCAAGAGAGAATGTTCCTAGGGATTGGTAATGGGTTAGGAGACTTCCTCTTTCTTTTTTTTGTGTTTTTTTTTTTTTTTAAATAATTTTTTTTCCTCTTTAAAATTGCACTTTGCTGGGGGTGAAAATAGTTTTTTTCAAAAATTTTCAGGTAAAAAATATACATGTCACATCTATCACAAATATATCATCCGTGCTTCCAAAGCTCAAGTATGGAAGCAGTGTGTTCTGCAGTCATATAAAGGATGTATAAAGAATAGTTCATGCAATAAATGCTAAGTGCTTTGGAAGTAACTTATTTCCATACTTAGCTACCTCCCTGATCAGAAAATCCTCTCAAATTTCTAAGCTAACTTTTTATATACTAAATGAGTAAGGTCACTGTCAGTGAACAAAATAGGACTTGCTCTCTTCTTCATAGCCAGTGGTCTCTTATAGACAGGTTATATGGTTGTTAATGCAATCCTGAGCAACCTACACTTTTCACAAAATGTTTGGAAAGTTATGCATTCTGACTGTTTGGTCCTTGTACATTAGATTCTTTTTCCTTCCTGCATGAAGCACTCTGCACTTCTTTCAATGAATGAAAAAAGTTGTAATTTGAACTGCTGTAGAACCTGCTCTTGATTGTGTTCCTGGGACAACTTTCAAGAGGAAATGAACATCTTTAGAAGACGTAGCCATGTCCCGACAAGAAGGGATAATCACTGGAGAGTATTTCATGTTCCTGAGTTTAGGTAACTCACATAAGTGAGTGGAGAGAGCTGGCTCCATGTTTGTTGTTGTTGTTTCCAGCTTCTCCACCACATTGAGAGTGTAAAAACACACAAAGTATTTCTTAATATTCTCTCTCCATAAAAACACCTGCTGTTACTGGCAAGGAAAGGTGAATGGGAGTTGTTTTTCATAATGTATTGGGCTGTTGTCCAAACATTCATGTAAAGCATGCTAATAGGTACTTGTTGCAGCTTTTGAGTAACATATCCCATAAATCTGAGATACTTGCACTGATTGTCATCCATTTTAATGAATGTTGGAAGTGGTTGAATCACTCGAGCAGGAGTTAAAATTATTGACTTACCAGAGAAGCGAGTGTCAATTAGGAAACCTGAATTCTTATGTATTTGGACACCTGTTTTTCACGTCTTATCTTCTAGAAGTTATAGCATGTACAAGTGCTACTCTGAAAGTAATGTCTCATATTTTGTTACGTTAGTCCACAGCATCTGAGGTGGATGCTGGTGGTATGGCAGTACAAGTTGAACCATCCTGTTGATAGGCCATTAAATTTTGTTGCCGTGTGACAGATGGCAGCAACGAAACAGTTTGACAAAATGGCATCTGGCATGGAAGTGCCTATGAAACAGAGGTGTGAAACTGAATTCCTCCACACAGGAAAAAATGGCACCTAAATTGACATCCATTGAGGGTTGCTGAACGTATGGAGACCAAACAATGGATGTAAGCATAGTGAGGTGGTGAGTGGTGTGTTTCAGCAGTGGTAACAGCAACAGTGTGTCACTTCTGTTGGTGTGGATAAAAATCCATATACGTGCAGCATGCATGCTCCTTTTCGTTGCTGGAGAGTGCATAGTTAGTGGTGGTAACCATGTTGAAAGAAGGTGTTCAGTAGCTGAGAATTTGCTCTGTCAAATAGTATTATTGTTCTCTTTGTATCTATTGCAGTTCTACAGAAATAAACAGGAGGCATTACTTTTGCAGCAATTAGGATATTAAATGTTACTTGAAAATTTTAATAATGAAACACCATCTCTGTGTGTACGAAATCATTTTGTAAGCCAAAAACCCTGTACCATCTCCATCATGGACACAAAGTTGCAGACTTTCTAATGTTGATTTTAAAGGATGTTTGGAAAATGAAGTTTTACTATGGTTTGGGTTGTTTGTGGTGGTGGTGGTTTGTTTGTTCTTTTTTGTCTCTGCTAGTTTATGGACTTTTTTTCTCCATCATAAGTCTTACAGGAGATAGATTACTTTAAAAATAATTATGTTTTTGAAATGATTATCCTCATTTTGTGCCCACAATTGATCACCATAAAAAAAAAAAAAAAAACAAAAACAAGGGCAATTAATTCCTTCAAAGAAGCTTTTTAGTTTTCAGAGCTTTCTCAGGATGACAGGAACAGAATGATTCCATCTGGAAACAATTTTTTTTTTTTTTTTTCCTGAATACATTTAATGAAAAGAAGTTGCAGAACAGTCTGCAGCTGGAGGTTTGTTTTGTCCAGATAAAACCCTGCAAAACTGCTTGGTGGTAAGTTTTTAATCTTGGATTCATGGGGAATGAAATTTACTTTACAGCTCAGCAGGCCAGTGCAGTGCTAAAGCACCACAGATTTGCAGATATAATGCAGTTCCCCATTTGTTTTTGTGTTAATCTGTTGCACACCAATGACTTTCATGCACTTAGTTAATCAGGATACTGTGTGGTAAAATCTCGTGGATTTGGCTTGAGATGGGCAGTACAGAAGGAATAACCTTGCTTAGATGATGGCATAGATTTGTGAGCAGGACTGTTTCTGAAGAAAGACTTTATGAGACCATCTTCCACAGCCAAAAGGGACAGATTGAACTTCAGATCCTACATGCTTGCATTCTGCTATCCACAGACTACTTATTTCTGTATTGACTTAAAACTGTGAGATATAAGGCTTCTTGCACTTCAGTAACTGGGCAGTTACCCTTTGTTATGGATAAAATATAACAACCTAATTAAGTAGAATAAGAAATAAAAACAGATCATCATCTATGAAGTGCAGTGTATTTTGTTCAGCTATGAATGGAACATTAATTTACAGATACATCTTCCTTCATTGGGATGGAGAGTGTCTTTAGCAGTCTAAATTAATGCTAAATGAGGTACAGGAGTTTCTCTTTTTTCTCTAGTGCAGGATGCAATTCAGTGTTTGCCACATTACATTTCTATTTGTTAAGGTTATTAAAGAGACTGTATAACAGAATGTGTATGCATTCCTACACTTGACAGTCCTGTTTGATATTTCTGTAATTTTAACTGAAATATCTTCTTGACTGTGTTTGTATACATAATATATTTGTCTGTGCTAAAGGTACTTCAGTAAAATGTACTTCAGTATTAAAAATGAGTCATCTACCGAACAGGTTAGTTAATGAAACATTTTCAGCTCAAACTGCCATAGACTGAAATCCAAAATAAAATATTAATTAGTCTCAGCATCAGCATCATTTATATCAAAATGCCACTGTTTGCTGTCCTGAAAAATTAAAGTGTAATTACAGAATTTTGAACATGCACTGGACACTTCAGATTCTGTAAAATATTAATTGATACAATGTGATGATAAATGTGTTGGAGCCTGATTGGGAAGAAGTTTCTTTCTTCTGTTTTTCTGTACATTTGTTTAACCTATTTCAGTGCTGCGATCTTTGTCTTTCAGGTCAAATTTTAAGCTGTTGGCTGTAAATGGAAAGCTCTATGCCATTGGCGGTCAATCCCTTTCCAATGTGGAGTGCTATAACCCAGAAAATGACTGGTGGAGTTTTGTAGCATCCATGCCAAATCCTCTTGCAGAATTCTCAGCTTGCGAGTGCAAGGGCAAGATTTACGTTATTGGAGGATACACCACACGAGGTAGAAAGCTTTTTTATTATTATTTTCAACTGGTGTCATGAAACAAACCCGTGAAATGAAATAAAAAAAATTAGTTCTGTTGTACTGGCATCAGGTTGTGGGTTTTTTCACAGTCTGTACCTAGGAGCTGTAATTCTGCATGCCAAACATAGGTACTTGAAAACCAGATAGCTGTCTGTAATTTCCCATATGACTAACTGCTATTCGAACATGCAACTCTGCTCTTTGATAAAATAGACCAGTCGGTACTGCAGAATGCAGCTTAGTCCTTCTCCTCTTAGATTTTGGTCATATAGTAGAAAGAAAGTTCTCAACAGGTAGACCTTTGTGGAAAAATATGCAAGCGCAATATAAACAATATAGACTTCTAAATATTTGTTATAGTTCATATAGCATTTCATTTTTTGTTTTTGTTTTCTTGTGCATATAAAAAAAACTTGGGCTTTGTATTGAGTAAATGAGGGCTACATCACAGAGTTCCATTTCATGTGCCTTGTGTCAAATAGTAGCATCCCGTTTTTTCCTCAGAAGTTTACTGCTGTGGAAAGACATGGGAACTTAATGTTTCCAGGAATGTTGGGATTTTTTTTGCCACCCTAGTGAGTCAGGGAATTATTCATTGTTTATAGGCAAAGATCATTTATATGTGGATTTTTGATCAGCATTTTTATATAGCACTGTTAATATGTTTCCTATTTTTTTCTTTATTTAATGTGGATTAAGTGTACAGGAAGATGAGTAATAAGCAATGACCAAAGGTCATTACAGTGCAAGAAAATGCTGTAGCAGCACCTGCAAAGCCATGCTGCTCATGAACTTCATTTATGACAGTTATATTTATGGCTATCTATACCTGTGCTCTTACATAACTTGTTAGTGTGTCACCATCTGCTGTTCCACTTTGGAGTTCGTCTGGAGGTCACTGTGCAGAATAGCTTGTAATACAGAGCTGATTTTATTGAAAAACCAAACTGGAGTCTGCAAGCCTGTTACCACTTGTCACTTGGGTTTGTATTTAAGTTCTGGTCTCTGGAGGTTGAAACTGAATTTACTAGCTAAAAGCTCATGCACATTCTTTGTTAATTTAGTGAAGCCTTCAATGAGGATGCTGCCCTGGACTACCCGGCAGTAAAATCAGAGAGGTAGTGTGACAATTTTGCAGGATAACAGTGTTGCAAACACATCCAATGAGTTGTAGCTGAAGCAGAGATAGGACTTCAGCTTCTCTCTCTACTTTCATTTGGTACTGTTGCATGGATTTCCTGGTCTCTAAGTGAGTTTGACCTAGTGCATTTCTCTCTTTATGAGGTACTGAAAATGAGCCCTTAGGTTATCCATGCCTCTTGATGGAATATAGCTGGCTTTATGGATGTTATTCCCTAAAACTTTGATTTGTGGATTGAAATGCAAAGTTCAGCTTGTATGATAAATCACCACTTGACAGCTATTAATGAAGCATACAATTATTATGATAATTTGATTTATCTGTGATCACCAAGCAGAGTGTTGTTCAATTTACCTTTTCATTAAAAATATCTTGCATGTCAATCAGAGGCAAAATCACAATTATTAGGTAATAGCTAGGATTTATGCTGCTAAAGTGTACTTTACCAGATCATTTGCATCATTCAATAGGACAGCAGCAGCTGAATTTTTCCTGCTATGGTAGAATAAAATGTCCTAGCTTTATCACTAGGGACAAAGACTCACTTCATGAATGGAAAGAATACTCCTCCATAATTGCCATTTATTTATTTGTAAATCTCTCTCCTCTGTTTCAGATAGGAATATGAACATCTTGCAATACTGTCCTACTTCTGATTCTTGGACCAACTTTGAACTCTGTGATGTCCATGTTCGGAAACAACAGATGGTCTCTGTTGAAGAAACAATCTATCTAGTAGGAGGTTGTATTCATGAACTTGCACCAAACCAAAAGTCCAGCCAAAGTGAAGATGTGTTAACTGTGCAGTCTTATAACACTGCTACCAAAGAATGGCTCTACCTCAAAGAGAACGCATCAAAGTCGGGTCTTAACTTGACTTGCACTCTACACAATGATGGAGTTTATATATTGAGTAGGGATATTACTTTATCTACGAGCTTGGAGCACCGTGTTTTTCTGAAGTACAATATATTTACAGACAGCTGGGAGTCACTGAGACGCTTTCCAGCCTTTGGACAGAACATACTGATCTGTTCTATGTATTTGCCTGATGTGTGAGATGTGTAATGGCATCAGGTTTTTCTTTGCAGCTCATTAATCATTCTCAGAAGACATATTACTCCTTCTGTGTAATTCCAGTTTCAGAATGTAATACCTATGTGATTGCATAACATAGGTATAAAATACAGATTCTTCTCTTAAAAAGTTTCGAAATCCGTTATTAAGAGCAATAGCTCTAGAAATGGTTCTAAGGTTTCAGTTTAATTTTCTTTTATTTTGTATTTAAATTTCACTTAAACATAAATTTTTATGTTGGTAACTAATGAAGGATATAGTTCCAAAGGCAAAACTGGTTATTCTCATTTTATTCTCCATCATTATAGACAACGCAGAAGAGAGAGTACACATGGTGAAAGTGACTATCATTAAATAAAATAAATGCTATGTAAAATACTGTATATAAGAGAAATCAAAAAAGGAATTTTTTTAAAATACAATTTTTACACAAACTGTGTTCTATTGAACGCATAATGTTAAAAATTGCTTACACTCTCATGTTATTCTCTCTTCTACAGTCACAAGTGAGAGTTTCAAGGGTTCCAGCAAGTAGATATCACCAAGAAACATCCCCTGAGTTTTTTTTTTCATAAAATGCTTCACGAGGGACTGGGAAGAATTACCTGGAGACTGAAGTTTCTATCTGGATTTTAGACATTGCTTTAATGGCAGTTAGCAGAATTTATGGTTGCCATTATGACAAAGGTAAAAAGTCTGCAAATTCAAATGAAGGAGTTTGCTCATCTTTCAGAAGATATTCAGTTTTAGTTATCCTGTTTTCTGCAGTGCTGAATGTTAAAAATCAAATTATAGAAACAAAGAAACAGGTGTTAGCAGCAAGCTGCGTTGTAGGAAGATATACATGAGTACACACTGCGGTGAATCTGCAGCAGGCACTTACTGCTTGATAACAGTCACCTAGGGCAAAAGAGGAGACTGAATCACTTGATGGTCAGGGTTCATTTTGTAAACAACTTCCTTATGACACCAGCTCTAACAGGTGTATGTGGATGTTGACTTTCTTGTTTTACCAGTAGCCTGATAGATAAAACCAGTTTGCTACCTGAAGTTTGTTAGTTTCTCCAAAGAACATAAGGGAATAGTCGCCGTAGATTCTCATTTGTGTTTCCTAGATTCTACGTATTGCTTGAGACTCTTCTCTTTTTGGAGCCTTCCTCCTGAAGGCCTTGGTTGTTATCACGGGAAGGTTTCACAACTGCAGCCTTTGGGAAAGAGAGAACCGGATTAGGCATATATTGAACAGATTGCACTGATGTTGATTTTGTGCCAGCTCTTTCTCAAAATGATGATATGTTATTCACTTGAATATGTTCAAGGGGAGATATTTTTTCCCGCTTTTGAAATTCAAGAATCTGAATTGACTTTTGAAAATGGATGCCTATTGTGCAGAGAAGGAAAAGACTGCAATGGTTCCCCCAAGGTTCTTTTAACTCCCATCTTTTCCATGGTCTTGAAATAAATTGAAGCTAAAAGAACTATCAGACAACTATCTCTCACACATTTTGTGCTTAGGTGCGTAACTTTGATGCTTCTGATCATGTATAGCAACCCAAATAGAAAATTCCAGGAAACTCTGTTTGTCTAGTGTGGACACTAACCAAGGTACTTTGAATATCCAGAATTAACCTTCTGGGTGGTATTTTTGCAGTCTGGCAGAGCATGTTATGCTTAAGCCCCAGATAGTGTCTGCCATTCATCTGTATGCATGAATTTCACGAGTTTTAGCCTTTGTCTATTTGTTAGTTTTCATTCCTTTGAAAACTTCATGCACTGAGCGGCTGCTGTGTTATGACAGTTGCATCAGACCAAACAATGGCTTTTCTACAATGAAGAAATAGGGTGACTTTCCTAAAATTCTTAAGTGATTTGTTTTTAACTTTTATAAGTGTTTTACAATAAATATAAGCACTGTTCTATTGTCTGGTTATAAATTATTTCATCCACATTATTTTACTTCCTCCCTTTTCGTTTCCGTGTATGCTACCCTACTATAATCCATTATTAAATTCAGATTAATAATAGTGGAGGAAATCTTATTTGAGTTGTGGCATTCTCTCACCTGGCAAATTATCTGTGAAGAACTCCCATTTCCAGATTTTCAGTTTAATATGTCTAATCCTTTCAAACTCATCCATTTTGTAGAGCAGGCATTATTATAAAAGCTGTGATATGGTGCTTTTAATGTGGTCTTTTTCATGAGAGGCCATCTGAAATCAGAATTACATATTTGTTGGTTTCAGCTTCTGATGATTAGGTGACCGTGCAGAAATGTGGAGAACCTGCTCAAATGTAGAAAAGTAGAATACAGTTTTCTAAACTGCATTTAGAAAAGTAAATGCAATCAGACAGTGCAGTCAATCTGTGGAGCAAATTTATCAATAATGGCAATTAACTGTGCTACAGTAGCAAATCAAAGCTGGTGTTGAATTGAGTAGTATGAAACTAATTAAGCTAAGTGGACTGTATAACTATATGCTGAAATAAATATGGTTTTTAAGCAAAAATAACTACAGAAAAATATGCAAGGGGTATTCCTTGTAAATCAGAGGAAAAAATCCTACCTGTAATGGCTGTCCTTTGCCCTTATTTTCTTTCCAAAATTGTAACATTCTACATAAGATGTTGCTGAACAGTTTCTACCCTTCTGGGCAAGGAAAAATGGTTTGGAGTTACTAGCAGTGAGTAGTTTAATAGCTGCTTTTTAGTCATTGGAAATGTTCAGTGATTTTGTGTGCTGTGTTTGTTTTCTTGGAGGGGAGAAAAAGTCCTATTTTATGGACAGAAAAGCTTCTGAAAAACAACAGTTGAAGTGTAGGTAAGTTGCTCTACACATATCTGCTGGTAAGATACACTTGATCTTACCAGCTACAAAATTCTTCAGTGTTATCCTGATATCCACATTCTAACTTACCACGTGGCCTTGGAGAGATTGTTCTACCTGCTTGTGTCTTCATTCCTGAAGACAACACGCATGCTGATCGTGTAGGGACACATGATTTTTGTGGTGTGGCAGTGTTTGTGAGATCTCTTGAAGGTGTGAAGAAGAACAAATATCCTGCTTGTAGTAAGTATTTACTTGGTTGTTAAAATTGTTTGATAGAAAGTGGCAAGACAGAAGACAACCAGTAACCTCATTTTGGTCTCTGCTAACTATCTTCATTTTGAGCTGATGGCTACTTCCTATCTGTTTCTTCTGTTTCTGTCACCTACTAGCTTACAGTTTGCCGAAGTTTCTTAGAGTTGGTGTTCTCAAGACCGTATCCAAATTTAGAACTGCTCCTTTCCTGCCGTGGCCTGGTTATCCAGTGCTTGCATATCCACTTTTCATCTTCATGGACTGAGTCTGCTTGATACTAGCCAGTAACAGCTGAATATAGTGAAGGATGATCCCAAGTTGAAAGAAAGAATAACAGGAAGAACAGCCTCTAAGTCCTGAGGGAAAGGTAAATGGAAAACTCTGGGAACTTTAGTCCATTCCCATAAAATAGAGAAGTGTTTAGAAAGGTTGCTCACATCAAGCATAAGAGAGAGCATAATAGTTTCTTCCTCTCCAGGAATGGTTTGTGGTTTTCAATGTGAAGTTATGTGGAGCTTAAGTTTAATCTCCCTGGCCAATGTCCATAGATTTCTCTTTCTGCCCTGTCAGCTGAACTTTCTTTGCCTGAATATTTTTTCCATTATTTGAGTGTTTTGTCCTACATCAGAGTCCAGACTGTTTGGATGAAATCATGTGATAGCACTTTGTTGGCCTTTTCTTTTTGTTAGTCTCATTTTCACTGGTCTGTGTCTATCAGCCACTGAGATGAAAAAGTGATTTGTTACTGAAGTTGTTTTTTTTTTCATTTATTCAATTATTGGCTCTCAAAAGTTAAGTCTACTAAGCTACTTTTTTTTTTTTTTTTTTTTTTTCCCATTTAATCATCATTTCAGTGCGAAATGCTACAGATTCAGAATGTGTGGAAGTTGACCCATATCAGTAATGTGGGAGTGAAAGTCACAGAGTGCAGTGATGACAGTGTACAACATGCTTGAAGACCTACAAGAGCAGAGATTTATCATCACAATCACTCCTATAAGATAAGATACATACTGTAAACGATGTTAAACCAGTGACAATTCCTGGGATACTTGTCAATGTTACCAGTGAACTTAAAAGGAGTCCCCAAAAGTCCTTTAAGGGTGGGAACTGTCAGCATCCATAGTATGCTATATTGATTTTGCATTTACGATAATGACCAAAGGGTGGCTCCCTATACCTACTTATGAACATGAATAAAAGATGAGATAAAGAACTTTTAAACATTTTTCTCTACAGTACTAACACATTCTCAGAGTATGTTCTCTCTCTAATTAACTCAGAGTCTGTTTTAGTGTAATAATGTCTTTTTTTCACCAAAGGAAGGATGGAGTCTGGATTTTGTGAACTACTTGGGTAATGCATCCACATTTTTCACTTGCTATCCCAATTATGCATTCTTTATGATTTTTTTTTTTTTTTTCCTGAAGCTAATTGCTATTATCAATAACATGTATAATGTCCTAAGTATGTCAGTATTTTCTACTGTAAGTAAGTTTCAGTTCCTTTATTTTAATTAGAAGGCTTTCATTACTGAAATACAGACTGTTAAACTTTTTATAAAAAGAAAATGAATCACTGCAATTACTGTCTCTTTCTAGTGGAAGGCAGATTAGACAACATCCAGTTTTAGAGTATCCAATTATCTTCTGTACGTTTTCAAGTAATACAAGCTTTGATAGGTAAGAAAGGTGCTCAGCTCTTGAGCATTCTCTGTTTGATGGAAACTTGTACCATTTAACAATAAACGCAAACTCTCTGAATCCTTAATCCCTCACTCCCTCACTTTATATTCTGCTTGGAATTTGTGATTATTTGATTTATTGTTTCGTTTTCCACTGTCTGATATTTTCCAGATGTTTCTAAGGGTATGCCTTTATGATAAGAAGCCCTTTATAAATAATTTTTCCAAAATTAAGTAGTTTACTCTGCTCCACCAGTATTTGCCTATGAAGATTTTACCCAGCCATTGTAGCTGAAGAAATACTTTACCAGGGCAAACCTTAAATTCATTGCTTCTACTGTACTGGAATACTCAATTTTGAATTAAGAGATACACAAATCACAAATCACTGCTGACATAGGATTTCTTCTGAAACTGTCAACTTTCTGTATGTTGTAAGCTTCTGTCTGTTTCTGAATTATTTCTAGCCCTTCTCGTTCAAGATTGCTGTAAATATGAAGAGTTCTTCTGCATCTTACTCATAAATACTATGTAGATTTTAGTATAACCTCATATACTCCTTCCAGGAATCTTCCTAACTTTAAGTTCTCACATCTTCAAAATTACCTAACCTATAAACTTCCGGTTAGCTTTTATTTGTCATGATTAGAAACACAATTATTTAGAATTCTGAATATGTTATTGTACTTAGTGAATGGTCTTGGTACACGGGATTTATGCAGAGTAAAGATAGTAGACCCTTATCTGTTGTTCTACAAGAAGACTTCAGCCACCATAGCTTGAAATGTAAAAAAGTGATGTTACTTATTCTCCTTCGGAACTTTGTCTAATTTCATTATTTACACTATTTGCTGAGATCAGAAAATCTATTAGCAGTCAGCCATTTGGAAGTGATATCAAAGGAACTCTGTTTTCATCTTTGGGAATTTTTACTGTAGTTTTCTTTTTTCTACTGGGCTTACTGTATATGTCTGGTATAGCATTCTATCGTCTTTTTAGTAATGCAAGAGAAATTTTGCCTTTTAACAGGTAGGGCCTTGATTTATTGTGAAGACCAGAACTTTGTAATCTGAAATGTGTATTTCGCTGTTATAAATTAGCAACTCATAACTGCTCTGAAGCCCATAAAAACATAATTTGGGGATGGTGGGGATGAATATGAAGTCAGAAAACAGATGCGTAGAAATAGCCATTCTCTAACCTCCAGGCATAAGCAATTTTCAAATGTGGAAGCAAGTAGAAAAAGTTTTAAATGCTTTTAAAGTAACAACTCCCTTTTCCCTCTTCCCCTCTCCTCCTTCAACCAGAATAATTTCTGGTAAGGCATATGTACATTTGGAAGAAAATGTTAGTGATGAGGTAAGAATACACTGTTCTTGGGAATATGATCTCTTATCAGAACTGCTGCTTTAGCAGGTCCAGAAACCTACTTCCAGCTTCAGTATATCTCTTTGAGTGATGTTTATGAGTTTTCATGACATACTATCACTTAACACATGTAATAATAAATGTGACAGGAATTACAGAAGCCCTATTGTATATCTAGGAGCGAATGCACAATGGGCTTGAAGAAAGACTTTTTTATTTTTTAAATATTTTTAATAGATCTAGATCTAAAGCCTTTTGATCTTAGTAAATGAGAACCAGCTATGAATTTGATACATATTTCAGTGACTTAAATAATTCTGAAAGACACTGAAAAGATGCTAATTTTGCAGTTGGCTGAGAAAACAAGAGGCATACACTGAAAACTTGGAGAATTTTTTTATGGTATGATCTCTGATATACCCCATCTGCATTGTGTGTTGTCTTACCTCTGTTCACACAAGTCTTTCAGATATACTGGTTCTAAATATTCAGGAGAATTATGTTTCCTTGGGAATATCTGGTGAACACGTTCTATTTTAGATTATAATACTATGAGGTTTGTTTGTTTGTTTTTTCTTTCTGCAATGTCTCTGATAAAATAAATGGAAAAAAAAAAAAATCTTGTGTATAGGTAGTTGTAGCATTGACAGATCCAACACTTCAATACGCCACAAGATGCTGAGTGGAACAGAGGCCCATCATTTTTGTAGTCAATATACGGATTCAAAAGATTTATTTGCAGAAGAATTGAAACTTTGGCAGATAACCATGCAATGCAAAACAGC